AATGTTTGGAAACCAAAAATCAAGAAAAGCCGAAATCTTAGCTTGATTTTTATACGTTAGAACCTTATACCATGCCTCATTTGTACCTGTGAGAGTCTCCTGTTTGACACAGGTTAGCTAGAAGGGGCCTGGAAGGCACGAATAGTACAAAAGAAGTTAGTCTTACCATTGTCATTTGTATACATTAATGAAATCCTGATGAGGACCTGCTTTTTGTTTGTTTTCCTTTGAAAGCTAGCCCTATTGTATTTGTATTTAAAATTTGTACACATTTGTATGATAATCTGTACCTTGTGGTATTTGGTACTATTAGAGGAAATACTTTGGATTCAGACCTTCTTGCAATTTTTATATCATTGTTTTATTTTGTTTTTTAAATAAATCCTAGTGGTTTGATCCAAATCCCGTTACAGTTGTATAAAGAAATAAAATTTTGTACTTATATTATTAAAAATCACATTTTTAATATTTGTAGTCCAGTCTCAGCCGTCTTTTCCATAATTGTGCTATTGTTTCTACAAAGTTGTAAAACCTGTTTTTCATTCTGTAGCCTATCATCATATTATTTTATTTTTTTTATTTTTTTTCTACCATAATATTCTTTAAAAAAAAAAAAAAGTCAACCTGGAATAGAAGTCAAGTTTTTAATCTTAGCTATTTTTCTGACATAAATCTTACACTGTTTCTATTAACGGTTACATTATAGAGGCTGTCGTTTTCACTTTTCAGATGACAAGCCTACCAAATCTGATAGCTGTGGCTCTGTTTATTGGCAAATGAAACTATATACATTATGGTGTTGGCCTAAATCAAGGAAACATTCATCAGTCTTGTATAAGAGTTGCACCTGAATCAGTGTATGTTTCTTGCTATTTTGGCACTGTCCTGGCTTAATCAGTGATGTTGGATAAGTCACTTAATCTTTATAGGCTTTCAAAGTCCCATCTGTAAAATAGCATTACTGTCGCCTCCCTGCCTCCAAGCCTTCAGTCAGCCAGCCAGACAGGAATGTTTAGTAATATTAAGAACATTGAATACATGGGGGTTGGTTGACCTTTCAATGCAGATACAAGGTGGTAAAAGTCATAAATAGCGAAATACCTGTAAAATGATTGGTGAAAAGGCTAACATTTTATGGAAAGGCAGCAAGAAAGAGATTAACATATCACTGAATGACTATTAGTGAGAGTGATTTGCATCCTTTATCCACTCAGTCCTCTAAAAGCCTTATATTATCCCCCTTAATAGCTGAGGAGATAGGCTCAGGGCCTACAGCTCAGCAGCTAGGTCACCAACCACATATATACACCAAGGCTGGTAGGTTCGAACCTGGCCCAGGCCTGCCAAACAATGACAACTACAACAAAAAATAGCCGGGCGTTGGGGCAGGTACCTATAGTTCTACCTACTTGAGAGCCTGAGGTAAGAAAATCGCTTAAGCCCAAGAGTTTGAGGTTGCTATGAGCTGTGACAACATGGCATTCCACCAAGGGCGACAGAGAGACTGTCTCAAAAATAAAAAAAAAAAAAAGATGAGGAGATAGATGCTGAAAATTACTTTACCTAAGTTTATACAGCTAGTAAATGGCAAAGCCAGAATAAGAACACTAGTACAGCTGACCTGGAAACCTGGACTTTTTCTACCCTAAGCTACTTTCAGATTTGAATCATGTATGTAATTCATCAGAATGCATTATCTTCAGTCCTGAGTGAAGTGATTGTAGGAAAGCTATCTGACAGCTTTGCATTATTCCAGTGTCCAACTGGATTTCAATTTCCTTCTCATACTATTGCCTTTAAATTTTGGAAGCAGTATTTCTTCCTTTGGAGGGAGAAATACTGCTTCTATACTGTTAATGATCCTTTGGAGTCTGTAAGTGATTAAAGGACATAATAACTTGGGAGGCTGAGGCAGGTGGATTCCCTAAGCTTACTGGTTTGAGATCAGCCTGAGCCAGAGCGAGACCTTGTCTCTAAAAATAGCTGAGCGTTGTGGCCGGTACCTATAGTCCCAGCTACTCAGGAGGCTGAGGCAAGAGAATCACTTGAGCCTAAGAGTTTGAGGTTGCTGTGAGCTATGACGCTATGGCACTCTACCAAGGGTAACAAAGTGAAACTGTCTCAAAAAAAAAAAAAAAAAAGACATAATAGATAGATTACATTTATGCAGACTATCAGCCTCAAGGGACTTGAACGTTTATTTATTCCTTAAGACAGACATTATATTAATATTGCCAAAACACTTTAAAGGGAAAATTAACAAATTTTTACTAAATGAGTTCGTTCCTTACTAACACACTTACAAAACATAGTTTTAATCAGGTTTGTACTAACTTAAGGTTTGCTATTTACATCCTTGTCTACTGTGTTGACAAAGTCCACGTAATTCCATTTTTGTTTGAATAGTTCTAAAGTATTCTGTTTGCATGGTCCACTTCCTATTTGGGGGTATACGGGTTGTTTCTGATTTTCTACCATGAAGAATAACACTTAATGGCTTAGCATCTGTAGCTCAGCTGCTAGGGCACCAGCCACATACACCAGAGCTGGCGAGATCGAATCCAGCCCAGGCCCGCCAAACAATAATGATAACTACAACCAAAAAATAGCCAGGCATTGTGGCAAGCACCTGTAGTCCCAGCTACTTGGGAGGCTGAGGCAAGAGAATCGCTTAAGCCAAAGAGTTTGAGGTTGCTGTGAGCAGTGACACTACCACACTCTACTGAGGGTGACATGATGAGACTTATCTCCAAAAACAGCTGGGCATTGTGGTGGGCACATGTAGTCCCAGCTACTTGGGAGGGTGCGGTAAGAGAACAGCTTAAGCCCACGAGTTTGAGGTTGCTGTGAGCTGTGATGCCACTGCACTCTACCCAGGGCCACAGCTTGAGACTTTGTCTCAAAAAAAGAATAACACTTAAAAGAACTAGCAAATTACCACCCAACATAGGGATGATAAGGTTGTGATTGGAAGAATCCAAAAGAAGTTCATGCTGAATATATTCCATACAACCAATCAATATGACTCAAGGAAGAAAGACATGGAAGGTACCTGAATAAAGGTCATCTTGATTGCCCCCCTCTATAGTCCAAATATCATTTACAAAAGGTAGATTAATTTAAATTTTCATGTGCTAGTTCTTCTGTTAAACAACAGTAGTGAGCAAAATAGTATCCCAGCCCTCTAGGAGCATATGGACTAGTGGGGGGGAAAGGTCATTGGTTAACAAGTCTTGTGAGCATCATGAAAACACTTCAAAGAGCACAGCTTTTACATTGTACAGTGCAGACATCAGACACCGTGGCTGCTCAAACAAGTGAATGTGCAGAAGCGATTGAGTCCTAATTTAGGTTTTTTTTCTCTAAGACAGAGTCTCACTTTGTCGCCCTTGGTAGAGTGCCATGATGTCATAGCTCACAGCAACTACAGGCACCTGCCACAACGCCCAGCTATTTTTAGAGATGCGGTCTCAGGTTGGTCTCCAACCATTGAGCTAAGGCAATCCACTCTCCTTGGCCTCCTAGAGTGCTAGGATTACAGGCGTGAGCAACTTTGCCTGGCCACGATTAAAAAATATTAAAGTGGGGCAGCACCTGTGGCTCAAGGAGCAGGGGCCCCATATACGAGGGTAGCGGGGTCAAGCCCAGTCCCAGTCAAAACCACAAAATAAATAAATAAATATTGGGCAGCACCTGTGGCTCAAAGGAGTAGGGCACCAACCCCATATACCGGAGGTGGAGGGTTCAAACCCAGCCCTGGCCAAAAACTGCAAAGACAAATATTAAAGCACCCTCTAGCAGCCAAAATGATGAAGGCCATGGATATTGTATTTTTTGGAGTATATATCAGAAGAAAAAATCCTAACCATAACCTAGTTATCTAGAGTGTACAGTGACATCTAGCACAAGGTACACAGCCAGGAAGGATGAGATCTTTAGAAGAGATTAGAATCACAAAGTTGGCTCTGTCGCCCATGCTGGATGGAGTGCAGTGGCTTCACCATAACTCACTGCAACCTCATTCCTGGGCTCAAACAATCTTCTTGCCTCAGCCTCCGGAGGTGCTGGGACTACAGGCAGGCCCCACCACACAGGCTAATTTCTTGTATTTTTAGCAGAGACACTGTCTTGCTCTTACTCAGGCTGGTCTTGAACTCCTGGCTCCAAGTGACCCTCGTGGATGGGCCTCCCAGACTGCGTTGAAATTTTTAACGTTGTACTTAAGGGACCCAGAAATTCCCTGAGGTTATAAACAAAATTGCATCACTGCCAGAAAAGGCAGAAGTATTTATGGCTTTTTTCAAATTATCAAAGAAGCATGTGCCCTTTAAAAAGTATATATGTGTGTGTGTGTGTGTGTATACATGTGTGTATTAAGAGTCCTTGATCTGATCACAGAGAAAATGGGAGCTCGCCGGTTGGCTTACACAGCAAATTAATGGCAGGGATGGGTACCAGAGTTTCCACACGTGAGTCTACCTGTGTGCTTTCTGCCATCCTGAGCGCTGGTCGGTCCCTAGCTGCAATTCATTAAATTGGTTCTCAATCTCAAGTGATCACAAACCCCTGGTCCCTGCCTCTTATTTAAGGTAAGTAAATGTGTGCTGCAAGCAAGGTGGATCTTGGAGCAAGGAGACCTCCACATCAAATAGAAGAGTCACAGAAAGGGAGACAACAGTCCTAGAGAGGACGTCGACCCCCAGGAGTAAGTAGGTGTGCAGTGAGGGCCCAAGGACTCAGAGTCTGGGCTTTAGGGTGACCTTACCCATGTCATTAACTTGGAGGGAGACCGGGTTACCCAGGTACTTTGAGACCTTCAGACCACGCCCCTGAAATCCTTTTAAAACTCATCAGGGGCGCGACGTAGAGAGGCCCGAGCACCCTGGCCCCCACGTCGTGCGTGACGTCCACCGACGCCAAGTGCGGCGCAGTGAGGTCATCGCCCTCGCCCTGGGCCGGACCCTCGTGCGTCGGGGCGGGGCCTGCTGCCAAGCTCTGTAGTCCCTCTGCCCCGCCCCCCAGGCCGTCGGGCGCGTCACGTGACGGGTTGGCGGCGCTGGCGGTTACTGTCAGCTGATTCTCAGGATTGGTGGCAGCGGCAGTCGCGGCAATGGACTTTCTCCTGGGGAACCCGTTCAGCTCTCCGGTGGGACAGCGCATCGGTGAGTCCCTGGGGCCCCGCACTGGCTGTCCCGGTGCTCTGCACCTGACCTCGGTCCCCGGGCGCCTCCAGGTCCCCAGGCAACTAGGCAGGGAGGGCAACGAGGCTGGCGTGTAGCTTCCCCGCCGGCTCCGCCCAGTCTCCCCCGCCCACCGTTGATTGGCAAGCTTCTGGGCCATTAGGCAGGCGCTGCATGTGATGGATACTTATAACAGCCGATAGGCAAAGAGGAAGGGCGGGGCGGGGCGGCAGCGGCCCAGCCAATGTGACCCCCCCGCTGGGGGGTCCGAATCAAGGCAGAAAGTTTGTGGGGTTAAAGGGACTACGTGGTTGGCAGTCGCGGGGCTGCTGGCCAGCGTCCTGCCACCTGGGTTTCTTGCTGGGTCCTTCCTGACTCTCCGGGCTTTCTGGACAAGAACACCTGGGAAGGCTAAAATTTCCTTCATCCCAGGACCCGGGAGCCCAGGACCGGGCGTCTTGGGGGGAGACTTGCGGGAGGGGCCCAGAACAGGACACTGCCTCGCCTGGAGGAGGCCAGGCCTTACAGACCCGGGTCTCGACACGAGCCCGCCTAGGCTTCTTTCACGAACCAGCGTCGGATGGACCTGCACAGACTCGGAGAACCTCCGACCCAAAAGTGGTCTTGGAAACACCCGGGTCAGCCTCCTTGTTTGCTGAGCAGATGGGGCTGCCGAGCACTCCGGCCAGGGTTCCTGACTCCAGCTGGGCTGGTCTGTGGTTTTTTGCACCCTGTTGACAGGAGACTCATAGTTCTGTGACGTAGCCTCTCTAGGCCAGGGTTTCCTCCCATGTAATTGAGGGTAATTAGAGTCACTACCTCCGTGAGGCTTCAATTTGTTAATTAATGTGAAATACTTGGAAAAGCGCCCAGCACGTGGCCAATGCTATATTTTTAAAAAGTCGTATTTATAATCGTTGTTACCGAGATACCACCCAGAGAGGGCTGGGAATCCCTGGAAATTGCTAATTTGGAGCCCCAATCAGGGACGGACCCAACAAAGGCCATGGCCCAAACAGCAGACCCTTCTCCAGGGACAGTCTGAGTGTGCCGCTTTTGCACGAAGAAACCAGGGCATCACTGTGAAATTATCTCTTCATCTTTCTGATGACGTTTAACCAGACGTTTATGTCCAGGTCAGGAAAACTAGAACCTCAGAAGACGACTTTTTTCTGTTGTACTGTGTTGGAACCCAACACTCTCTCTAAAGTCAGTCGCCCCAGCTGCCGTGACTGTTGGCGCCTCTTCTGAGGTTTTGTAATCAGTTCTCTCCAAGGGGGAGGTGGCAAACCAGGAGTTAACACCAGGAAACTCCTGGACCAGCGAGAGGAAGGGGAACTCTTAGAGGACAGCCACCACCACCCTCCAGGCTACACACACCCCACAGTGAGTCAGAGGTTTTGAGCTGAGAAGAGAAGGCAGCTCCTCTCACCTTTCCTTTCCAACTACTGTTACCACTGCCTTTATCACAGGCCAAGTCTGAGACTTCCTACTTAAAAATAAAAAATAAAACGTAGGCCTTCAGAGTCAGCCACATATCCTGAGGCTTTCTGGGAAAGCTCACCTGGATGCTGGGCTTTAGCTAGTCAAAGGCAATTGAACTTCTTACCCTGAAAGGTTGCCTTTTTGGGCAAGAAATGTTTCTATCCAAAGAGGATGCTACTAAACCATAACATCTCAGAGCACAAGCCACATTTTACTGCTAAAAAGGCCTTACCTTGGGTTTTTTTTTTGGGGGGGGGAGGTTTGCAGTTTTTTTTGGCCAGGGCCAGGTTTGAACCTACCACCTCTGGTTTATGGGGCCAGCACTCTACTTCTTGAGCCACAGGCACCGCCCATCCTTGGGGATCTTCTAACCCAGTGGTTCACATCAGAATTCTGGGGAAGGCTTGTTAAAGCAGGGATGAGTGGGCCCCACCCCCAGAGTTTCTGACTCTGTATGTCTAGGGTAGAGCTCTCAAATTTGAGTTCCCAGGTGATGCTAATACAGCTGGGTTGGCAACCAGTTGTTGAAAAGCCTCTATTCTAGCCCCTTCATTTTACACTGGAGAAAACTGAGGCTAGAAAGGGGAATGTGGAGGCTATGACTCTCCCAAGACTCAGTGAATTGATAGCAAAGGTAAAATTTGAACCAAAGTTGAAGAAACTCCAAAAGTAGAATTGAGTGAAGAGTATCTACCACTTGTATTCATCTCCCCAGTATTCCATATTCCTTTCTAGATAAAAAGGTGGAAGTCCTTCACTGGAAACAGCTGCTCGGTGGTTGTGATTACTGGTAACCCTAGTATGAGCCGCTTGTGTTCCTGTAAACCAGGCCCCTCTTTGTTGCAGGAGTAAAATAATCTCTTGCTAAACCTGCTGACTCCCATGACATTGTTTAGAGTAGAGCCTGGCAGAATTGGCATCCCTGAGGACAGTGGGTTCTAATGATGCTAATGGGAGATGAGTGACACTCAACTCCCAAGCTCCCATCCACTCCCACACCACTTGATTCTTGCTCGTCCCACTGCCTGCAGTGCCTGCTTTTCTCCCCCTCCACCACCTGTGAGGAGCTCGGGCTCATCCTTCAAAGCACAGAGCACTATCACCTTCCCTCTAAGGCCTTCCCTGAGCCCTTCAGATT